TCTTAAAATGAGAATATAAATATTTGTTTACTGTCGGAGGTTATGATTGCAATTAAGCAGTAGAAACAGTTGAAATTCAGCTTGTTCCGATAAAAATTAAGTCTACTAAACAAGACTTTAGAGTTGGTGCTATATACTGCCGACCAAATTGCAGGATCAAGAAAAAAAACTTTTAAAGATCTCCTGTAGAAACATGGATATTATATCTAATAGAACGTGACTATAATGCCAAGCATACAGATTGGAGTTTTAAAATCACCTCAACTAATAACTAGGAAGATAGCTAACAGAAGCTATTCAAGAACTAGGTTGTTGCTATTACTGCACCGGCACTCCTACTTATTGGCCTACTGGCACTAACAAGATTTCTGATGTTATAGACTTTTTTATGACTAAAAGAATATCAGAAAACTTTCCAAGCCTTGAAGATAATTATGATTTTAATTCAGATCACTCTGCTGTCATATTAAAACTAAGTGAAGAAACAACTAGAACATTATATATAGCACTTTGACATATAGCACTACAGATGGGGTGAGCATATAATCAAGAGAACAATTAGATCTTGAGCTAGAAGAATTTATTGTAATAATATAAAAAGCTGAATGGAACCATACAAAAATGTCGATGTATAAACGACAGCAAATAGCTATCCTGAAGAAGTAACAGATTTAATAGGTGAAAAGAAAAGTAATCAAGGTGACGCGAACGTAGATGGCAACGTTCGCGTCACCTTGATTGAAAAAACTGTCTTAAACAGACTTTCCCAGGTGCTTAAGAGAATTCCGAGAATTTAATTCGGCGACATATGAAAATTATAAAATATAAAGAACTTGTCAGCCACGAAGGAAACGAATTATTCCTTGTGGAAGGCGATAAAGAACAAAAAGAAAACCGAATTATTTGCTGATCACTTAGAAAGCATATTCACACCAAAAGGAGTAACATTATACGTGAGTTTATGAAGCCAGCAGCATAGTTGCACTTACAAAAGTAGAAATTGCGCAAGAAACAAGATCCCTGAAGTTGAAAAAATCTCCAGATTTTGATCTTATAACTACGGAAGTACTGAGAGAGCTACCAGGCGAAGCTTTGAAATATTTGATGAAAACCATGAATGCAGCTATAGATTTTGGATATTTTCCTTGTGCTTCGAAAGTGGGAGAAGTAATTATGGTATCCAAACCTAGGAAATCCTTGAGAGAAACAGTTTGATTTAGAAGAAACCATTTTACAACAGACCAAGTCCATAGAATAACAAATATTATAGAAAAAAGCATAGAAGGTAAAGGAATCTGTTCTACGTTTAGAAATATTTCTAAACGTAGCACTGGCATTCGGCAAGGTATGGCACAAAGGCCTTATATTTGAATAAGGACAAATGATACCATCACCATTTGTAGCTATTTCGGAATCTTACTAAGCTGATAGATTGGCTCTTCCCAGTATGGGCCTTTCCCAGTATGTCAAATGCATGCAACTGACGTTAGTCATGAATTCCAAGGCAACATGACGCTAGCGTCATAAATCCCAACATATGTTGCTAACGCAATTGATTGTCATTTTAGTTTTTTTCGCATGTTTTTAGAGGCTAATGCATAAGTAATTTGTTTGAAAATTGCTCAAATTACAGGTGATTGTCATTTGCTAAATCAAGCGATTGACGTGATGACATGATCGTCAAATCTTTGACATACTGGGAAAGGGCCTATGTCTTTCTGAGAAAGACATTTGACATACTGGGAAAGGCCCATTATTTAGAATTTGACAAGTCGCTGAATGCTCCACGCTAAGAGAAATAAGAGCAGGTGTGTCTCAAGCGCAACGTTGTACTTACCTTACACGAGTGATCTACCACAAATAGAAAATGCTACGATAACCACTTTTGCTAGCGATACTGCAATATATGCAGTGGGATCGAGCATTGACGGTTCGACAAAAAAAAATACAGGAGGTAAGTAACAAAATAAGCCAGTGGACTAAAGATTGAAAAGTGGAGTTGAATGAAGCAAAATCGGTTCACATAAACTTCAGCAATCCATAACTCAGCAAAATACCAAGGTATGACTTTAGATGTCAAGCTAAGGTGGAAATAGCATATAAAGAAGAAATACATAGAATTAGAAAATAAATATAGAGAAAATTATTGGCTTCCAGGTTGTGAGTACGATTTAGTAATTGATAACAAAGTATTAATTTATAGCCAAATTATCAAACCAGTATGGCTATATGGCATTCAACTGTGGGGTTATGCCAAGAAGACTCATATAACAAAATTCAAACCTTCCACAGTAAAGCTCTACGGGGCATGGTAAATACGCCATACGTATATATGTATGTATGTACGTAACAGTGACATCCATAGAGATTTAGGCATTCCTTTGGTTCTAGATGAAATTAGGGGTTAGTTATTATAGGGCTCGTTTAGAACAGCATGTAAATATAGAAGCAGCTCGGCAGAATGTGGTTAATTGAGTCTGACGCAAATTTATAGCTCACATTTTTTTTTGTTGCGTCGCATTTTTTTTGCTATTCTGCTACACGCGAAAGTGGTAGAAAGTGGTACTTTAAATTTGTTGATGTTAAGTGATTAGAAAATTTAATTATTGGTTTTTAATTAACTGATGACGGAAAAAGCTATACATAATAAATAGTAAATAAGACAAAGGAAGACGATTAGGAACTTTACTTGGTTTTTGGTAAAAGCAGAGAATAAAAGTGATAAAGAAAACTGAAAAATGAGTTTTCCATTAACTCGATTAAAATTTAAAATTGCTGCCGATTGGTCGGTTTTACACTGGAATTAATAAAATTGCTCAATATTGCTATTGAAATATCTAATTATATTTATATCTTTTCCATTTTCTTTAAATATTAGTTTTCAGTCAAATTTGACAAAAAAATGTGACAATTTTCAAAAATGAATATTACAATATGGTATGAATATTTTCATATCATATTGTAAATCGGGCAGCTTCTCTGCAAGATAAACCTAATAAATTTTAGAGATGGTGCAAAAGCAACAACTTCAAGTGTGTTATTCCAAACAAAGGCAACTAATGATTTGAGATTATACAATAAATGGTCAAGTTCTGAGTAAGGTTATTTAACTGAGACGAGTCGATTCAAAATGAAATTTCAAGATCAAAGATCCTATTTTTCGTCCCCCTTATGAGGACAGGCAAAAATTGACTGATTTACCTACTTTAAACAAAAGACCCGACTTTTTTCAAGTTATGAAATCTAATTTCATTTCATCCGATATTTATAATAAAATCGTCGTCAACTCTAGTGTTAGGCCTTGTTCTCCTGATCTTTTTATAGTTCCATTCCATAGACGTTCAGTAGAGTGTTGAATCAGTGTAACAAGTTCAAGAACACTCTTGATTACAAAGGACACGATTAAAAAGCTTCCGCTTGCTTATGGTTAATTTATTCATTTCTAGTTGTTACCAATCTAATTAATACATATGAATATTGTAATTCTAAATATCAGTTATCTTCTATTTGGTTTGAATATACTTTAATATTTGAAATAAATTACTCGTAAATTGTATTTTAAAATAAGTTTTTTCTATAAATCGCCGCGAAATATTTCAGCGTAATAAACTCCAATAGTTCTTACATTCACTCGATATTGAAGATATCGGGATATACTCAGTGCTCTAAGTGAGGCGGGATGGAGTGGGATGCCATCCCAGTACTTTTAAATAATTGGAAATCCATCCTACTACTTAATAGGAGAGAAAAATGCGTTCCGGAACATGTTTTATAAAATTTAAGAAAATTTTCTAATGAATTTTAAAAATTTTTTTAACAAAAAATTAAATATATGTATGTAATTTTAAATAAGACCAATTTCAAATAGTAACGTATAATTTTTTTCTATTAATGAAATTTTCGTTACTACATTTCTTTGGTAACAATTTGCACAGTTTTTGATTCAATTTTTAGTTCATTTAATTTTGAATATAAATATTCTCGTTAGTTTACTTCCAAAGTTTGGTAAGTTTTGTTTAGTTATTTTTTTAAAAAATAACTAAAATAATACTTTTTTTTTTTTTTATTTTTTTTTTTACCATCCTACCACTTTGAGTACCCCACTTCGACCACTGGATATACTTAAATCTAGGTGTTGAGCTCGTATGAAATATACCGATATTACATACACAAATTAAATCATTCCTGCTCAATAAAAACAAATTATGTATAACAAATCTACTATTTTGAGTTGAAAACTTAATCTTCATCCCTGATGATACTCATTATAGAGGTATATAGAGAATAGAACTATTATTTTTTAAGAAAGTGACAAATTTCCTACTGCGTCTGCAAACACTCATAAAATCTATACCGATCCTTCAAAACTGCCTGTATATATAAAATCTTATGGTTGAGCTGAAGAGATGTAGTAAAAGATAATGTTTTGGAAATTATACAACCGAGTAATACTAATACACAAAATTGCCCATTATTACTGATACATAAAAATTTAGGTCCAGGTGGCAGGTAGTTCAAGTAATGCTCCCTCTATTTTTCAAAGTTTAATGTACATAGCAATAACCAGTGAGTTAGGTTTATTCAATAAGACGATTATACAATTTAATGCAAAAATTTAGCTCGACATAATAAAATTGAATAAATTAACTGAATAGTAAGATGCATGCCAGCGTTATGTTTTTAATCCAAATCGATTCTCACTAAAATACCAATTCAGTGCACAATTTTGAAAATATGCATACACATAAATATGTATGAGTTTCCATTTTCAATCCAACAATTTACCTGCAATTTCTTCATACCTCTCTAGCTTAATTGGTAGAGCTCCTGCCTAGAAAGCGGTAAGTCACTGGTTCGAGTCCAGTTCGAGGAGAAACATTTTTTAATTTTTCTACTTTGACTCATTCCTTTGATTATGTCATCCATATGTTCGGCAGTTGTATGAAGCAATTTCCATTAGCTATTGCTTCTCTTACTAAAGCCATAATTTAATAAAAAAATTCAGTAAAAAAATGTAACGATTTATTGTGGAAGACGTTATTTGGACAGCTTTGTTATCATATTTTTTTTCTCCTTAGATAATTAAATATTTTATAAGTAATACTATACATTTTTTTTCGTTTAATTAACAAGTTGTAAATACCGATTCCACGCCAAATTTTTTTATGCAATAATTAACAGCTGCATAAATAAATAACAATCTTTGTTCCACAGCTCGTTTATTATATTCAGTAATAATTTCTGTTTGCTCGTTACTTTTTAAAATTTCATCCACTAAACTTGTTAATGTACCTCCAGAAACAATTTGAAGGTTATTCCAAGTAGTATTTCTTATTAAGCAGCACTGATATAAGGGAGCCAAAATGTCAAAAAATACTTTATTTGGATTTCCAAAAGATTTTCCATTATCTAGAAATATAATGTTTCCTTTCATGATCTCATAGTGATGTCGATCTCCATTTTGAATAAGAAAATCGAAAATTGATAAATCAACATAATCCAATAATTTTTCGTGGTCGATACCTTTTTTTAAAGACCTGAAAATTTATGAAAATATGAAATTAAAGACTGTGGAGTAACTGAATAAATCAATTTAAATAGCATATACTTGCAATAGTCCTTGTTTTCTTCCCATTTAGCTTTCAAATGGTTTTTATAAGTTCTTTGCCAAGGAGATCTAACTTTCTTTAAGATTCCAGGAATTATAAGAATTGCAGCACCCTCAATCAAGTTATCATTGTCACCACAAATGTATTCTTCTTTCCTACAGTAATAACATTTTCCAAAAAGGCAATATTCCCCGGTAGCTGTAATAAAATTGAATATAAAATTATTTTATTCCGTTATGTAAAAGTGTTCATGTGTTTAATGTGAAATTCATGGACCAAGTGACTGTGAGCAAAGTTCATATGTACATTATGAACATATATTTGTATATATAGTTCTCCAGTGTAGAACACATACATATGTATGTTATATAAGGCCATGTGCTACCTAAAAAGTTGCGAGAAGGAACAAAAATGTCAATATCAATATTTCAACTCAAAAGTACAATCATAATTTTACATGGCAAACGATACGTGTATGTTATACGATCGAGCGTATATCACATATTAACAGAAGTTTGGTTACATTTATTAAAAATTATATATATTTAAATTATGAAAAAATAATATAAAAAAAATTTTATATTATTTTATATTATTTTTTAAAAGTAATATTTATAGCTATATCTAAATCTAACCTTATTAAAAATTAAATAAAAAGAATAGAATAAATTAAAAAAGTACTTTTGTGTTTGCTTTCTTATTTATTATTTAAATTTAGGTAAAACTAAAAACTGATGGATATCGACTCCAATGTAAAAAAATAAAATCAAAAGGGGTTTTGCGGACTGCATAAAAAAGACATTCCAATCACACGTTCATCAATATTGCAACCCAATAATATAATCATAATTTTACATGGCAAACGATACGTGCGAATAAACAAAATTTTATTTAAAATAGTACACACTTGACATTTTATGATATTATTTATGTATTATTTTTTATTAACATTGATTGATTTTAATTTGATTTTATTATATTTATAATTTGGTAAGTGTGTTTTCTATTTTGCTTTAATTAAGTAATAGCAAATAAGGTAACAAATAGTCTTGAAGATAATTCTTTGATCAATATCCAGCAAAAAATTGTACTATCGATAGAAAAAAAGGTAGCAGATTTCTCCTGCATATAAATACACTACGAGATACGACATCTTCTAATACGACATTTCGAGTTACGACATGATATAAATTTGGATCATTTTTATTCGGCTTACGACATTGTTCCTAATACGACATTGAAAATTTAAAAAAAAAAATTGTTTTTTTGACAGATTTTACTGTTTTTTGAATAAAAATCTATACCGAATATAGCTATAAGACGAGACTAAAAGCACATACTCCAACAATGAACTCTTTCTAGTTAAAAATTCTAGTAAGTAGTTTAGAATACGAATTGAAGTGATAAAATATCAACTTATTTAGATTTTATTTTATTTATTTTTGTTACATCATTGAATTTTTTTTATTTTGTTATTATATTTTGTTGTTTTTTTTTCCAACTTTGTTTCCTTTTTGTAAAAAAAAAAGTTAATTTTTTTATAAGATAGTTTGTCTAATTCACTTTTTGTTTCAATACATTTTTTTTCCTCCTCAAACGACAATTCGAGTTACGACATAAATTTCTGGGACCAAAAATGTCGTATCTCGAGGACTTAGTGTAAATGATTATAACTTCAGAACCACGCAACATAGAGTAACCATAGACATATTAATAAACTGACACTCTAAGAAACTGAAAAAATACCAACTATCAACATTTTGTAAAAATAAATGAGCTAACAAAAAATGGGTCAAATTCCAATATGCTTTTCTTCTAACTGGTAAATTCAAGCAAGTATTTCAAAAATATACATGAATTTAGTTTTCTAATAAATAATAATAATAATTAAAAAAAAAACTAAGAAATATAATAAATAAAATTTACAATGATAAAAATTAGGAATATATGAAATAACTTGTGGAAATTGTAGCGCTAAATGTATAAGACGAACAAAAAAATATAGCAATTAGAGTTAAAGAACATATAACACATATCAAATAATAGTAGACCCACGTCAACACGTCAAAGACAATAATAAATTAGACGATTGGCAAAATTGATCAACAAACACAAAAGACACCAAAATCTGGTGAACATAAGGCAAAACCAATACTATCGCCACTTTTTATCTTAATAAAACTGTAATATGGACGAATTGAAAATAACGACAAATGATCTTTATATTATTTTTTAGGATTTGTTTGTATTTTATTACTGTTTGATTCTATAAAAAAAATTATGTTATGTCTGTTAGGTTAAATTTTAATTTATTTACTATTAATCTATTTTATTAGTTAAATGTTAAAATAGATTTATTATTTTGAAGATGTTGTTTGCAAGTTTTCAATAATACATATTAATTATTGAATATATGTATGTTAAAAATAATTAAAACTAGATTGTACATTTTTATTTTATCAGAAGTCTTATTTGAATTAGTAAATATATTTCAATAAGAGAAGTTTGATTACATTTATTAAGAATTATATCTTTAAATTATGAAAAAATAATATAAAAAAAGTTTAGTCGAATTGAAGCTGATGATTAAAAATTAAATAATAAAAGTAAATAAAAAGAATAGAATAAATTAAAAAAGTACTTTTGTGTTTGCTTTCTTATTCAATATTTAAATTTAAGTAAAACCAAAAAGTGGTCGAAGTCGACTTCTTTTAAAAAAAAAAAATAAAATCGAAATTGGTTTTACGGACTGTGTTGCACAAATAATATAAAATTTGACATCTTAAATTAGACGTAAAAGTACATTGTATGACCAGTAACTATGCATGTATTATTCGATCAATGTAAATATCCATGTACATATGTATTTCAATTAAGTTCCATCCATGTATGTATTCTTAAAATTAGTAATAGGAAATAGACTGAAACCTATTCGAAATCTTTGCTTCGCCTATTAAAATACAGGTTATAATTCCATGTGTCATTGTTCTTTTGCATATCTGATAAAAACTCAAAGGGAAAGCAAAAGAAATATCACAATAAAAAGAAAAAATAAAACTATAATAACCGAAATTATTTGTCAGGTTGCGTCAATAATATTTTTACAGCGAACGTGCAAATAGATAAAAAGCGAAATGTCTCTAAAAAACTATAAATAGCTCAACATTTGCGAATGAAGAAACAATCAAATATTATTCTTTACATAGCAAACATAATTATCTAAACAAGCCTATGAATACTCTTCAAATTAAAAATGTATTGGCATGTAATCAGCAAACTTAAAAAAATTTTGGAAGAAGTTTTCCTCTAAATAAACCTAACAAAAATATTCAAATACACAGATGTTTATACCAAACCAGGTAAACATCGGGTATGTATTTTTATATTCAGAATCGGGTATTTTTATTTCGATTCATATGACCAAGCACCTTTTCAAAAAGAACTTCAACATTTTCTAAGGGCAATTTCAAAGAATTCATATACTGTTTAGAATTACAAAATATTACAAGAGGATCTTTCAGAAGTTTGCGGGCAATATTGCTGCGTGTATTTACGTTACAGATGTAAAGGTCATAGCATGTATATATTTTTATATATTTTCAACGACCTCAATTTTAACGATAAAACAGTTTTGAAATTGTTTGCAAAATTTTTCTACATCAAGAACAAACGAAAAATTACATGCAAATATGCAAGAAACCGTTTATGTTGGAGTCTGCTCGGATCAGAGCATTGAAAATGTTAGCATTGCTCGGAGCAATTAAAATCAGCAACAAAATATGTCTTTTTGCAACATCGGCGGCCGTCTGTATCAATTTGATAAAACTCTTCACTTCAAAATCTAGTCTGCAGTTCAGCGTTTATATTTCTAATAACATGATGTTTGAAGCCTACCCAATCTGTGGTTTTGTTGACTAAAGTCGTTAAGCTCCGTTTGATAGCTATTTTCTCACTAATATTACAGCTGAGTGATAGAGACTCAAATTGAGATTATCTTTCAAGTTCATAAAATTTGTTCAAATCCGTTTAAATATAAAAAAGTCAATAAAATCCAAGATTTTGTTAGCAATCAGTAGGCCGTTAATTAGCAGAATAGCTCTCCTTAGTTCTCTACCCCTAGTTAAGGTCAATCTCGAGCTCCCATCCACATGTTTGGTATTATAGTTACCTATTCCCTACCCCCCTTCCTGCGCATAAGAGATCTTTAAAAATATCCTTTGTAGCACTTTTCCAAAAAATTTAAAAAAAGAAGTGCTTATTAGTTTCACTCTGTCCGTCCGTCGGTGGACATGGTTACAAAACTTCTACAACCTTTAAGATAGAAAGCTGAAATTTTATATGTACATAGATCTTTACTAGAAACTTATTTCCGTAAAACAAAATTTTTACCTATCTCACCCACTCTAAAAGTTATACGCCCAAAAAACCTAAAAATGCCATTTTTTAACTATTTATTGCAGTGAAACCATAAGCATTTTTCAAATTTTGCAAACGCAGAAAGGCAGTGGATTGCTTCTCCTATCGCAGCATGGTATAGTTAAAATTTAAATCTGCAATTAAGTTTGCAGATGCCCTCTTTCAGCTCCTAACACAGGTTTTCGAAATCGCTTACACGCAAAACTACCATTGGTCAACTTTCCTGATGTAACGGCGCTTTTATATTACCTTCAAAGATTTTACTTTTGTCATAGCCCAAACTTTTGAAAAGGTGTTCACACAATTACACAGTATGTTCAACTACTCGAATCATTCCTTACTAATGGGTTACTTGAAATTAAACAAGAAGAACAATATGCTTCGCTTACAGATTTTGGGCCCAGAGGACCACAGGGAAGAATAATCGGGACCAATATTATACTTATTGTAAACTAATAATATTCCACAAATGGGGTTTATGACTTCGGCAACATTTGCAGACGATACTGCAATAATTGCAATAGGAAAAAATGTAAAAGAGTCAACTAATAAATTACAGAGTGCCAGTAACGAGATGGACTAAAAAATGAAACATAAGCCTTAACAAGGTGAAATCGATCCACGTAGACTTCACCAATAGAAAAATTTATAATTCTCTTTCAGTCTCAATCAATGGTGTAATAATCTCATATGCAAATGATGGGTGTATTATGGCTATAACCCAGCCAGCGTTTTTTCCACTGCCGCCCCCCTGTGATCAGACGCAGACCAGGAAACCGCCC